GAATATTTAAATGTTAATTTATAGTTTATATAACTGCCAGTATTAGAAAATATCAACATTTGAGTATTTTAATGACTCATATTAGGTTACTTGCAAATATTGTGACATTGAAACCAAAATATAAAGGTTACCAATTTCTTTTTAATTTGTAAGTTTATGTARTTATTGTAAAGTTTATTGCATTTTATTATAAGACGTTTAGAAACCAAGAATTTAACTCGTTCGTAGACTGAACTTATCCCTAACTTGTTTTAATTTCATTCTATATATTCCAACGATTTTTAAATTAATTTATYATAGTTTCAATATATCTAAATAATTAAAGTAAAGCGTGGAAAAAGAGTCAAAAATCTAGATAGAACTCGATGTGACGATGCCAGTCGTTTATGCGAACCTGAAAAATAGTGTTTCTGTGATAACAGACAAGTTGGTCACCAGGAAAATGGTCAAACCTTAACGCCGTTTATTTTGGTTCCGTATTAAAAAAAATTTAGTYGTGTTTTGTGCTGTGTCTATGCGTAGTACCAACTATATACCAAAGATGTTTTGTAGAACATATACACCACATAGGTACCATMTACAACATTAACAATTTTTTTAATTGTTTTACTCGGTCGATGATGTAAAAATGTTTGAAATAATTGAATAAAATATCAAAGTGAGAAAAAATATCAAATTAATAATTTGTACTATACGTAAATCCTATACCTGTATATATTAAAACGATTAATATTTATACTGGAGTTATATTTGTACGTAAATATTACAGAATTTATTATCGCCACACTAGCTACTACCAAAACAAAGTAGTATGTGTATATTGTTTAGCAACCTAGCTAAAAAAAAAKTTGTTAACTACTGATGTCTACGAGTTAACTCAKGACTACACGAATATCATAGGTAAGTATATTATCATGAACATAATATTATATTATGTGTTATTATTGCATATTTTGTATTATAATTTAAAGTTTTGATAATTTTTATATATTGTTCATCACAATTTATTTGATAAGTTTGATTTATTTACCATTTAGTTATATTTGTAATATTTCAGTTGACATTTGTACATAAATAATTTTAAACAAACATAACATACAAGACACTACAAATAAAATTATAGTTATTTAGTATAGTCATTATGGAAAACTAGGTGCTTATTATAAATGTAATTCAAATCCAATTTCGCTTATAGTGACGAGCTAGACACACAAAATTCGTGTTAACAATTAATGTTCAAATAATCACTGTTCTGGAATACGATACATAATTAACTGATATTTGATGCTGTAAACAATGCAATTGTTTCTTACACGTCACACGGAGGTTTCAATTATCCACACAATGGGCAGAAAATTGGTTCAAAACTGTGGAAACGTGCTGTACACAGATAATACTTCATTGGTAATTTTAGAGGATGTATCGATGATTATTGATCCAAATTATATATTTTAAAGAAAGGAAATGTCCTAAAGATAGCAAGAAAAATGAGGTTACAACACGTTTTACGCGTAGTGAACAACTGTAATTGTCTCAACGGTCTATTTCCGTATGATAAGACATCGAATTATTTAATGACTTTAATACGCGTAAAATCGTTAAATAAACCAATTTTGATGGTTATTGTATCATAGAATGGCTACGTTTTGTATTAGTTTAGAATAAAGATCACAAGATGATATAAACGAGCAGTATTATACTATAATTTATTAAAAAGTCTAAAAATAAATAAATAAGTTAATATGTATACATATTTGATCATTAAAAATTATTAAAAATGTATAAAAATAAATAATAAAAAAAAAACATTTGAATGAATGGTTCAGTATTCTACAAATCCGTTTTAATTAATTATTGTATAAAAACATAAAAAAAATAAAATAATATCGTGTTTTAATCCTAAGCAGGCATGGGCAAGTTTAAGCGAAAATTTGTGAAAATGATTCTTGTAATAAATTCCCAATAAATTTTGTATTTTGTATACATGCCATAACATAGTTGGTCTAAATTACTATATTATGGACCAAAATTTAAGGTACGTATACAAAGACGATGGTTGAGTATTTTAAAAGTAATAATTTGTGCGATAGTAAATTAAAGTTGATTTAGACAATTTAAGAATCAAATTTAAAGTAGTTGAAGGACTATTCTTGGTACTCCCATAACGATTTTGATCGGAATGTTTCTTAAATTTAACAAATTTAGAATTTTCTTTGATGTCTTAAAAAATACATAGAGGTTCTAGTCATTAGCTATTCTTGTACGCACTTAAAATTTGCGCTAGTAATGACAAAGMTGTTGGGTGACATACTATAAAACGGAATAAACTTGATTCCTTGTATATTTTAATAGTTGATTAAGACTTATTTATCAAGTTGACTACAGTAAAATGATTCAAGAGTTTAAAGTATTAGTAACCAAAGATGGTTACTTAATATTATTTCAATATGATCGTGATGTTGCCAGTATAATCAAATAGTTCAACAGAACACATTGATTTTTTTAAATTATATATAAATGTAAATTCTAGTATATATTTTAAATACTATATTTATAGAGTTTGTTTTAAATTTTAAATACAAATTCAAAATTATGTATAATATTGAAAAAATGTATACCATTATAATACAATATTTGTGGCCTGGTGATGCGCGGTCGTACGTTTAATTTACGGAAACGCACTGCGTGTATGYACCAGCCACAGTTATACTAGCTCCCTGCAGATGCGTTATTACTTGGGATTTTCAGCAACATATCCTTGCCATACATACCCAAACAAGTGTTACATTTATAACCCTACCAACTTAAAAACCTATAAACAAAGTAAACTAAAATAGCACTTACCGTACCACCCCACACCCAATGACCTATGTTGTCCCGGGTTGCCCCTAAGAAAAAAAAATTTTAAGTCTTTCTAGCTTATTGAATCATTAATACCAACAATATTGTTAAAATTAGGCTATTATAAAAATGTGAACAAATTTATGATTTTAACTCACTAAAAAATTATGAAAAGACAATTTGGCTTTTTAAATAAGTAAAAAATATTATACTTTTAAGTAGGTAAGTTAAAATTTTCAAACAAATATATACAGTCAAGTTATAATAACATTAAGTCGAAGGGAAAAATAAAAATCCCTTCGTGATATTTAAATACTCAAATTAATAAACCTAACTTAACTTTAATATGAGTAAAAAGTAATTGAGTTGTCAAGTTTTTTGAGTTATTRAGATTCGACTGTATTATAATATACTAAAGTAAATTACATTCAGAAACGACAGCAGCAGATAAACTAATAAATTTCTTTAAAAGATTTATGGTTTATTTACTATTTCATATTTGTATGGATGTATACTTTTAAGAATAAAGCTATTATAACCTTACAATAAATATTTTCRTCATTAAGTTCAAAATTATTCATTTATAAGTGTTCGCCGTATAAAAGGAAACATTTTTCTTTTATACAAAATGTTGTCAAAAACATTTCTTACTATTTATTACACAATATCAGTACGTCTAACCTTCATTGGTGTCTTTAATGACTAAAGAAACCATACTTAATGCTCCTATTTAATATGTGTAGAAATTTTAAATAATTTTAAGGTAAGCTAAAACTTGTCTTGCATTTAAACCATTGCTACACACAGAAACACACATATATATTATAAATAGTTATTTATTTAAAATATTATGTCCTGTGGTGGTATATATTTCCTTTTTTTTTTTAAATCGAGAATCTTACTTTTTTATATAGGTTTAAGTAGATTATTTTATTTTAAATGTTGGTACATTATATGAATTAAAATTTGAAAGATTAGTATTTGTTAGTAAAATGTTTTTACCAAGAATAATTATTATAGTCTATAAAAAAGTTTTAGGTACTAAAATATTATTAAATACAAATCTAATATTAACCAAGTATTTATTATGTACTAATACAATTTTTACAACTTATAATAATATGTTCATAAATAAATTTAATAAATAATTGCCAAGACATAAATAATTGGCTTTATGTTTTTCAAACATGTTATCATGGAAAATTGACCTTAGTATGTATACTAAGTTAAATAAATCTAAAACAAATCATTTGAATTTCGATTAAGATAATACTCATCGAACTCATAAAAGTTTTCTTAAGTGTAATTTGACTAATAATTTACAGGAATTCATCAAAGTGTACACCTCATAATAATACTTAAGTAAGTATATTTGATTTCTCAGAGACGACATGATACAGATATTGTGGAAAATATTTTTTATGAATTTTAATGACATATTAACATCACATAAGACAAAATTTTTGGTTGGCCACATATTATCTAACATCATTATTTCGTAGTTATAATAATTCAAATGATATTGGTAGTGTTTAGATAGCCTGATGATTGAATACTGAAATACTATATTAATATTAAATAGTATGTTATATTATTGTTATACAATACCGTTTGGCTAATTTCCACCTAGCGATCTAATTCACAGRCAGCCGTCGTGAGTATTCAGTAATAATTAAAAAAAGACAAACCTAAAAAGACTTTAAAGATCTGTCGTATATTTCACACAAGCACATACAAACAAGTGCATCTGAACTCTACGTTTCCCACGAATCCAATTTTTTTTTTKTTATTTTCCTCGATTCTTATTCACTACGTAATGTTATTACTTATTTACCTACCGTTGAAACGATGTTAAATGTTATTCGTATTAAAATCATTTTCGTCAAAACATTTCACACAATATACTTTGGTGTCTTTCTAGAATTATTTGAAGAAAAAAAAACTGAAACGAAAAGAAAAAAACGGACGCAATACGAACGCGGAACGCACACGCCGGTTCGGGGTCACCGCCGCCGTCGGAGGGATAACGGAATCTTCGGTCGGGGGGAAGGCGACCTGCAGCAGCACCAGCAACCAGCTGGCTGGTCGCGGTGGTTTCCGCGGTACGTCCGGTTTCTAGTGGTAGCGCAGCAGCCGCCGCCGCCGTCGTCGCGTATCTCCTATTCCTCGCCATCAACATAACCGCAGTCACAGCCAACGACGAAGACCTCTTCCATAGTCCACCTCAGTGTCGTACAAGACGTCGGTGTGTTCGCAGCGCTATATTATAATATAGGTAATATTCCTAACGCGAATCCCTCTGACGTGCACGTGTTATAGCATATTAACATTCGTACATATTATTGTGATTTCGTTCATTTTCTGATATTATCAACGAGTACCACGGTTGCTCTCTTGCGCGACCTTTACTGCTACCAGAGTCATCTACCTGTAACCGCCATAACCGCAACCCATAAAGATAACTCGCCACTGTCAAGGATTAGGCGRTTACCGGAAGCAGGTATTTCAGCAGGCTGTCACTGAAGTCTAGCTTTTTTYGTGCGTTTCTAAACACGATCGCTTAACCAACGCGTCCACCCGTTCTGGTCTTAAGTGACAAAGCCGACACATTTCTACACAGAGGTAAGAACTGACTACTGGCCGTGTAATATTATGATTATTATTATCATAACACCGCTYTCAATACGCTACTATATTCACGTTTTTATAATATATTATTTTAAGTTTGTGTGAATAAGACCGACAGAACWTGTTATATTATAATATACATTATTTATATATAGGCTTAATTATTTTGTGGGTTATAAATATAATATTAATCTATAGACCTATATGTATTATTATGGTAATGGTATCATAAGTGATCTACTACTACTCGTACACCTTTAATTTTTTTTATTTTTTTTTTATTTTACACTAGTAATAATATAGACAATTGTTGGAATTTTTACTTATATTTGTGTGACAATTTGATTTAAGAAATACAATTTTTTACTTTTAGGAAAGTAGAGYTTGGTCAACTTAACATGCTTCTTAATAGATTAATTATTACCTACTACGTTTACTTTRATAATATTAATGGTATAAACTATTTGTATGTATTTTTTTTTTGTACATCGATTATGACACAACTAAAATACATAGCTTACGACATCGTTACCACTAATGCTGTACTAGTKTACTTACATAGATACATAAATAGCTGCATACGTACATACATACGACGTTAATCAATAAGTTGTATTTAGTATGAATTCAATATTATTTTTTGTTATTTTTTATATTATTCGTTTTAAACATTTTGAAGGACTGCAGACAATCGTAAAGTCTAGAACAAATTGTCACAGTATGCTGTACTAAAAATGAATAACTCAAACTTTACACATATATGTATAATGGTGTTAATCTCTTTATATGGTGCTTTATTCAGATGTGGATATCGAATAAAGTATATAATATAATTGTAAATATTTTATRCACCGAAAATTAAAAACTTTTTATATTAATGTATAAAAACATAATTTCTTGTGGCCTAATATGTTTTGAATCAAATATTGGGAATATAATAATGTGACCTCAAATATGACCGATGTACCTCTTGGTTATTTGATTAACATTTATTATTCCTTGAACCAAGTATTTTTAAACAGGTATAGAGGTAAAGATTCTATTTTTTGGTGATTGGAATAATCATAGGTTTTATAAATTAGATTTGCATAAGTATTATCAAATCATTCTTTGGCTTAAATTATTTTTTTTTAATACTAATTTTGTGGAGATATATTTTTCTTAAGAAWTGTTATGTTATTTTGTAGTTTGTATAAATCAGTTTTAGCAAACTTTTATATTTGCCAGTCATATAAATTTTTCAAATATTATRGATTAGAAGTATAAGATAAATTGTAAAATATCTAAACTATCACATTATTGGTATGGCTCAAAACCATCAATACATACGAAATGTATAAATAATTTTTCGTGAGGTGTAAAAATTAATAAGATTTTATCAATTTTTGTTCATTATTCAATTTCTTTTTTTTTTGGTTTTAGTACCTAGGTTTCTATTAAAAWTGGATATCAAATTATCACACTTAACGAAAACTAATTTGAGTCTAAGCTACATATTTTTCGATGCATTTTTTTGTTTCGGAAGTCAGTATAAACAAACAACTGTAAGGGAACAATAATCATATAGTAATGTCACTATCACGACGTATGATAATGGTTTAACCGTAAAAAAAGTCACAGCTACTGAAGGTGACATAGTTTTAGCTTATTAATAATTCAAGACGCATGCAACTTGTACCAAGTTTGCAAGACAGTAAGTTGACGTATAATTTCACTCGATTTACAAAATTAATATTGGAATATTGATATGTTACTATATAATATTACAATGTACCGGTTAAATCTTTCTGAAATGTGCACATATATCCTCGATAAGGTTTTATCAATATTTATATATTTTACCTTTTGTATTATATCTATTGGGAAAAATAATATTATCACTTGTATTTATAAGACTACCTACATAGATTTGATGAAAAAATTGATAATAATATTAAAAACATGACATATGAATACATTTTTTTGTAAGTAAGTATAGTATGCAAGAAAGTGTTCAAAAATTACTTTCATGTGATAATTAAATTAAGTTTTTTTTTATAGTGTAGCTCGGTGGTTAGGCTAGTCACTTAAGTGTTCTGAGGTCAATCGTCAGCCAGCGCCATTAGTTCCTATAGATGAGTGACCTGGGATTTTAGTGACGAATCCTTGCCCTATATAGCTATACATATACGTCGTGTTTCATAACCAATCATAGCCCCCCGCAAAATTTCAATGATCACCGATGTTTAAGATAAATAAAAAAATAAAAATAAATAATAGCAACTACGTTGTTCTTATTTTCTTTTGAGAAAATAATGATCCAAACGTATAATGGGATATTTAAAAATGCAACGCATGTACACCAAATTAATTTTTACATTAATTATCAAATTATTAGTCACTATTATGCTATTGAGATTTAGTACCTATATAATGTAAATCTATCTATATACTTTATATTGATATTCGTATAGTACATTTTCATTCAATAATATAACGTGTTTGTTTTAAATACTATGGATATTATAATGGAACAGTGGTGAATACTCCCTATTTTATTTTTATGATTTTTTAAATTGATATCGTTCGTTGAAGTTATACGTTTATTCAACAAAATAATCATACTGATTGTAATTGGTAAACTAGTTTCTCCTCTTTGGTTTTTAATCACTTCTAGTTCAAAAGAAAACAACGATTATAATAATAATAAATATGATATAACTATGAAATGAAGATGTTTTTATGGCGAATAATTATGCGCACTTAACGGCCGTGTTACACATTCCTTAGCACAGTAATAAACGGCCGTCGACCCGTAAGCCATAATATACGAGCAAACCACTATAATACGTCTGGTTATGGCTACAATTATTTAATGCCAACGCTGTAATACTATAATAACACCGGTTAACCGTTTCAGCGTAGATTTGCGGCGAGCGGCAGTCAGTCAGGAAAACAAGGGGAAAATTATTCAAATTCTACGTTATTTTACATCTCCCTCATCTGTGTTTCGATCCATCGACCATATAGAATTCCAGATTTGTTCGAGCTCATTTCGTACGCGTTTTACACGTATTGTATAAGTAGAAATACAGATACTACGCGTTTATAAATTATAATATTGATACTATAGTATAGACGTAACGGAATCATAATTCCGTGAGCACTCTACTTATTTTGCATTAGTGCATAGATCGGTAGGTACGTCCCGTATCTTTAGGTACTTATACCTATAATACATATCTAATTACTAATAAGACATGAAATTCGAATACTCGTGAAAGCATAATATGCGCGTGTGTCGATTTATACGCCACATATATAAACGGTCCTACGAACTGTTATAACAAACAACTATGTATGTACCTAATTTACTAATTTTCAAGATATCTGTAACGAACATAAAATACTAGACTACATTGGTCAATATTATTCAATGTTTTGGGTCATAGAACACGGAATCGATAAATTTCCGTTGGAATTAATTAGCCGTTGTTGTCGTTAGACGTCTCCGACAATACCTAAACTGTTGTAGAGTACCTAACTGTAAAATTATTCGTGTTAACCCGCAAATCATACATTCGTCAAAGTAAACATTACGTTGTAAAATAAATTATACGGTTTAAAAACAAAAATTAAAAATAATAGTAATGATAAAAAATCAAGAACTAAATCTGTGTCAAATTCATAAATTATATAATATAGACGTAGTTACTCATATTATTCTGATAAATTGCTACAGATAAATATTATAAAATTCAGATCAATAAACTGTAGATATAGACGCATTTTAAATTAATTATATACAGCTCGAAGTTCATCTAAACTCTAAACGGTGACGATTATTTCATTTTTCCAGTGCCACTGTATATTAAATACCTATAAATTATTTTAGTGTATAATATTTTAAAATAAACGCAATCGTCGTACATGGCAAAAATTGTGGTTATGAATAAATTTAAATCTTTTACATTTTATTCGCTCAATTATTAACTTCTGTATACATGTGATATGATTATAATAGTTTATATTAACTAATCATGCCTAATATTAATAATCACAATCGTATACCGTTAAAGTACTGATTTAATTTTATACATTTTACTGTAGTTTATTTTTCTTCATTTTAATATACTATAAATAATTCACAAGCGCATTTTCTTCTTATAAAAATTTATATTTTTTACACCTGTAGATCATATAGTATTTTATGCAGATTAATAGATTATGCGTATTATTAAATGTATGAAATTAAATTTTCCCGTTTGTAAGGACATTGTCATTCTTCGTTTCGCGGCYACGCGTAAATTGTATAATCAACTTTTTATTCACATTTTAACAATGCACAAAGGACACGTCGAATTCGTTATTAGTTTACTACTTACTCTTCTATGTATCAATAATAATAATAATATGTATACAATATATATATATTATTTTTTTTTATTGTATTATACGAACCGGCGATGTTGAAATTTTTGTGTAATTTTGTGGAATAGTAACTGCTTTATATCATTTCCGTTTCATAAGATAATTGCCCAAAGACGGAGTCGATTCCAATCATTGCTGAAACATAATGACTACAACAGTAAATTGTAATACATTTTTGTTAATTAAATCACACCCGCCATACAGCTATCATCCTGACATGCTACGGACCGACGGATGGCACCGTTTCGTTAATTTATTATTTTCCCATTTAACTGTTATAATTATTCTGTCCTGACTGTCATGTATACGTGATACCATGAATGGAGATGATGGCGATATACCTATATTTTTAATAGAAAATAATCCGGTCACAGTCACGTATCGACTACGGACTGGGATACCATTTATATAAATCCTCTATAAAACTGAGACGACTAGGCGAGTTATTTTATTTATTGTATCATTGAGGTAGCAGAAAATTCCATGTTCATGTCCAACAACCGAAACAACGTAATTTTGAAATATTTTGTTTCCAATGAACGCTAATCGATCTAGTAATGCAATTAGATTTTTTTTAAATATCT